AAGTCGCCTTCTACTTGGTCGATCCACCTTGCCCGCTGCACGCCTTTTCTTCTTGTTCCTGTTGGGTCGCTTTCTAGAACCATTTTCACTGGGTCGTCGTGCGGCATTCTTACGACGTGCCCAGCCCACCGTAGTCGCCCAATTTTTGCAATGTGGACGATGGATGGTTCTCCCAGCAGCTGGTGCAATTCGTGGTTCATTCGCCTCCTCCACGTTCCGTCATCCATCTGCACTCCACCGTAGATGGTACGCAACACCTTCCGTTCGAAAACACCAAGGGCGCGTTGGTCCTCCACGAGCATCCAGGTCTCGTGGCCGTAGAGCACCACCGGTCTAATCAGCGTCTTGTAGACAGTCAACTTCGTGCGGCGGCGAATTTTATTCGACCGGAGAGTCCTCCGGAGTCCAAAGTAGGCACGACTCCCTGCCATAATGCGTCTTTGAATTTCTCTGCTGGTATCATTTTCGGCGGTCACCAGTGAGCCAAAATACACGAACTCATCGACTACCTCGATTTCGTCACCGTCAATCTGAACTCGGAGTGGAAGGCTAACATTGTCTTCCCTAGAACCTCTTCCTTTTATGTATTTTGTCTTTGATGCGTTGATGACAAGTCCAATCCGCCTAGCTTCAGCCTTCAGTCTGATGTACGTTTCCGCCATTATCTCAAAGGTCCGTGCCATAATGTAAATGTCATTGGCGAAGCCAAGGAGCCGATGGACTTCCTGAATATCGTGCCACTCGTGTCTATCCCAGCTCTTCTGATCACACCTTCTAACGCGATGTTGAACAGCAGACACGAAAGTCCATCACCTTGCCGTAGCCCCCTTCGAGATTCAAAGGGACTCGAGAGTGTCCCCGATACTCGAACAACGCACATCACTCGATCCATCGTCGCCTTGACCAATCGCGTCAGTTTGTCCGGAAATCCGTACTCGTGCATAATCTGCCATAGCTGATCTCGATCTTTTGTGTCGTATGCGGATTTGAAATCGATGAACAAATGATGTGTGGGCACGTTGTATTCGCGGCATTTCTGCAGAACCTGCCGAATCGCGAAAATTTGGTCCGTGGTAGCGCGGGCACCCATGAATCCCGCCTGATATTGCCCCACGAACTCTCTTGCATATGGTGACAGGCGGCGGCATAGAATTTGGGAGAGTACCTTGTAGGCGGCGCTCAGCAGTGTGATCGCGCGGTAGTTGCAGCAATCCAACTTGTCGCCCTTTTTGTAGATTGGTCATACGACACCTTCCATCCACTCCTCCGGTAATATCTCCTCCTCCCAAATCTTGGCAATTACCCAGTGCAGCGCTCTAGCCAGTGCTTCACCACCGTATTTTAATAGCTCACTTGGTAGTTGATCTACACCAGTTGCTTTGTTGTTCTTCAGCCGACCGATCTCCTCCTCAACTTTTTGAAGATCAGGGGCCGGTAGCCTGTCGTCTTCTGCGCGTGCTTCAAAGTCTGTTGCCATGCCACCTTCGTTTTCTGCTGCTTCACCGTTGAGGTGCTCGTCATAGTACCGCTTCCACCTTTCAATCACCACACACTCGTTCGTGAGAAGGTTACCGTCCAAGTACTTGCACATATCGGCTTGCGGCACGTAGGCTTTGCGCGAACTATTTAGCTTCTCATAGAACTTCCGTGGTACAGATTTTCCATCGCCTCGCGATCTCGGTTTTCCTGCTGACGCTTCTTCCTTCGGAAAACCGAGTTTTGTCTGTTCCGCGCTTGTCTGTATCGCTCCACATTCAATCTCGTGCGGTGTTGCAGCATTCTCGCCCGTGCTGTATTCTTCTCCTCTACTAACAGTTTCATTCGCCGTCAAACCAGTCATTTCTTCGGTCCGGGATTGCAGTACCTAGTGCCGCTGCAGCAGTACTACCTATGGCGGAACGGATTTCCCTCCAGTCATCTTCAAGAGAAGCTGCGCCAAGCTGCACTTGCGTGGGTAGTGCAACTTCCAGCTGCTGCGCGTAGTCCTGGGCAACTCCGGCGTCCCGTAGTTGCTCAATGTTGGGTCGCGGCGTTCGACTTCGACGGATGTTATGAACCGTCGAGAGTTTTGAGCGCATGCATACTGCAACTAGGTAGTGGACCGAATCTATGTTCGCACTGCGGTACGTGCGGACGTTGATAATGTCGGAGAAGAATTTCCCGTCGATTAGAACGTGATCGATTTGGTTTTCTGTGTGTTGGTCAGGTGATCTCCAGGTGGCTTTGTGGATATCCTTGCGGGGGAAAAAGGTACTTCGAACTACCATTCCTCGAGAGGCTGCAAAGTTCACGTATCGTTGGCCGTTGTCGTTCGATACGGCATGCAGGCTGTTTGGCCCGATTGCCGGTCTATTCATGTCGCCCATGACGATTTTGACGTCCCGTTGCGAACAGCCGTCGTACACCTGCTCCAGCTGCGCTTAGAACGCTTCTTTCTCATTGTCGGGTCTCCCTTCGTGTGGGCAGTGCACGTTGATGATACTGTAGTTGAAGAAACGGCCCTTAATCCTCAACTTGCACATCCTCGCGTTGATCGGCTGCCAACCAATCACGCGTTGGCGCATCTTACCCAGCACTACAAAGCCGGTTCCCAGCTCGTTGGTGGTGCCACAGCTCTGGTAGAATGTAGCCGCTCGATGCCCGCTTCAACGACTTCGAAGTTGCGTGGTTGAAGTTCGTCATAGATTAACCTATCGCAGCCCGGGAAGCCGAGTGATTTGCAGTTCCATGTTCCGAGTTTCCAATCGTAGTCCTTATTTCGTCGCGTAGGTCTGTGCCGATTGTTCCGATTCGTATTTCTTTCTTCAGTATTTGCAACTTTGTTTTTTTCCAGGGCGGCTTGTTGGGCCTGCCCCAACCCCCTGTCTCGCCGGGGGACCATCGTGCACAGCTCTGTTTAGAGTCCCACGCTGACGGTGATCAGCCGCTCCTAACATGGAGAACAGACGCCGTTTTGAGCCGCACCTCCATGGTGAACAGACGCTCGGGTTTGGTGAATTTCCTCTATCACCGTACTATGGGGGGGAGGTGGGGGGTTAATAATATACCCCATCCCCCTCACTCATATCAATAGTTTCAGTTTGAAATAACTTCGGAGTTTCATATTTTATCGATTTGGTATGTTCAGGATGAATTATTCAAAAACATTTGCTCAATCTCATAAGCGTTGTTAGACAGCGGGGTGGGGGGAGGAGGGAATGGCATACTGGATGCAGTTTTTAAAACGAAAATTGTTGTAGTGTAAATATTTAATATCCACTTGTCGGTTCATTTGTTAGTGAGGAGATGTTGTTTGAATTATTAGCAGCTGGGAAATTTTAAATTTCTATACAAAGATTTCATTTGAAATATTAAACTGCCATCCGGGCTACCCGCATATAGAAAACACAGAAGTAGCCGTACGTCAAGAACCAATAACAAGAGAAAACGAAAACTGTCTTCACCAGTTTCGTCTCAGACACAGGTAAAGTCGGATTTCGCTTGTTGGGCTAACTTTAAGTAGGCTAAGTTTCAGTTGGGCTCCCAAGCTAAACGTCACTTCTAACAGTGTTGATTCCTTTTCGTAATTTCGACCGGCTTCATGCAAAATCCTGCAAACGAGTGGAGTAATGATACAGATTATTTCAATGCGATACAACGATTTGCTTCCTTGATGGTTGTCAACGATATGGCTGAATGAGGGGTGAAGCTCATTTCTGACTTATCAACCCGAGACCTAGTTCAACAGCAATATTTGCTTATAGAACAGCATCGAAAAGAGTAGCCTGAGAAATCGTAGAATATATTAAAATGAAATATAATCATTACAATCCAATGACATTTGTGTGAATATATCTGACATTTTATATTGCACCAAAAGAGTAGGGAAGAGAATGGTAGTACTCGTTTTACAACTGCTCTTATGAGATTCAGGAAATGTTTTTTAATAACCCATCCGAACAACTCGAGAGTTATTGCAGTTTGAATCCTTACCTCCATTTATATGGGTGAGGGGGCGGGGTATAGTTAGCCTCCCTCCACTTATCTCTTAATATGCCTATGAAATTGAAAAACTGTTTTTGAATAATGCATCTGAACATACCAAATCGATAAAATAATTAACTTCGAATTTGGAGTCTGACTTTTATTGGTACACCGGCAGTGTTGGCAGAAAAAGGGATTTTTGGCATTTAATTCAAAACATTGATCTTTGAACAGCTATAACTTTTTTTAGGGGCATTCTAGCACAATACATTTTTGAGCAAAGTTGTTAGGCACTTCCTGGGCTATACTTTAACGTATTTATATATTGTGCAAAATTGTGGTCCCTAGTAATAAAGATGCAAAAAAGTAGGTTTTCCCATACAAATTAAAAATGCAATGTGGAAAGCCGGGTTACAACCCATCGTCCCCAAATGTTGCACAGTTGTTTGGGACCCCAAATGGAACCAAAAAAACATTATTCTGAAAAAATGATCATGATGACCCATCCTACTAGATACCAATAATTCGATAAACCTTATTTTTTCTTAACTTCCATATTCTTCGAATGAGCGCCTGAAATGTTTTGTTTATTGAAGCTCAAAAAGACTCATCCAAAAACAAAATAACTGTGATAAATGTGCCCGTTTACGTCGAATCTTCGTAGTGGCTTCGGTTACTCGTTTCATAAGGAATAAGTGTGCCAAAAATACCAACAATATTTGACGGGAATGGGCCCTTTTAGCGCACTTTTAAACACATTTATTTTGTCCAGCTTGGTGGGAGATTCACAATATTCAAACTGCCTTAATCTAGTATATGAGAATCTCATTTAGGCCCTTTCTTCCCTACAGTACGTAAAGGCTTGAGTAGTTATGCGTATACGGTATCTCTAATATAGAAGAGATCTATATCAGCATATAGATTCTGTTCTGTTTCACATTCACATCCACCGGCTATTGTTTCGCTGAGGGTGGTACAAAATCCCAAGCTTTCTATTGAACAATGAGATAAGGTTGATATACCTACACAAACATTTCTCACTCACCATCAGTTGGTAGCTTTGCAGGTTCAAGGCCACACATTGTTATACTTCCATCGTCAGCCACGTTGCTGCAGACTCCACAAATTACTTCATCTTTGCAGAAGTATGTCCAGTAGTGTCCAGAAATGATACTGCTTTTAAACTTTGTGCTCGTGATAATTTTACTTTCGGTAACTAAACTGCCCATCCACGCCGTACGTAGTGCGGAAACCGCGGAAGATGTCAGCTCCCAAAGCAGTGACGGTGAGCTGGACGGGTTGAAGGAAGTGTTTTATCGAAACCTGATGGCAGATTTGCGCATGGAATCTGGGGAAAATGTAGCACTTACACCAGAGCTGGAAAGCCGCGTGGAGGAACGCATGGAGAGTTTCCTTCGCGCTACCGATGGATCCAGTTGGGTCCGTAGGCGACGGCAGACCATGCGAAGCAAAGGAAAAAGGCATAGCGCTCAAATTGTCGCCGATACAGCAGAAGGTAAGTGGAAAATTGTGTTTTTATTGCACTTCATACAATTTATAATACATAAAAAATACTTCTCCAACATACAGCACAAAAAGATGTTATCTCTATACAACAGATTCTGGCTTTTCAAATCCAAAAATTTCCTTCCTAATGTACCCACTGTCGTGCTTATCTAAAAATTTCATAAATAAACTCATGCTCATGGGAACTTCCTCATCGTTTTCGTCGTCCACTTCGGTGAACAGTTCCTCGCGGAATCCTAGAAAGCGGCGTTTGTCGTCCACGACATCGACCGGCGCCAGTGGTTCCACTTCCGCCAGTTTGATCTGAATCTTCTGCCATTTCAGCGGCCTTATCGTTCGCCAGAACTCTTGCGTATCCTGTTGGCGACCTTCCACGCAGATGACCGCTGGTTTACCCGGTCTGGAGAACCCCGAGAGATCCAAGTCCCGTGCCGACTTCAGTATCGTTTGCCGTTTGGTTTTACTCTTCAGGTGGTGCGAGTAGATCCACAATCGTTCGAATTTAGTGTCCTTCGCATTTTCGGAGTCCTCGGACGGTTGGTCTGACGGTACCTTGGGCGTTTCCTCGAATTTAGTTAGTTCCGGAAAATTATCCTGAATCCAGCAAACTATCTGATACACGTAGGCTTCATTTTTATCTAATACTTCCTGGTCGATGTACCGTTCGATTCTCTCGGTGATCAGTCGCTCTCGATCTCGAGGAAAGCAGGCCGAACGAACTACAAACAGTGGAATTTCTATTGCCGGGTAGAGATGAGGCAGTTCGATGCGGATTTGCACCTTCTCCGATCCCAGCAAGGGCAGATTCAGTTGATAGTCTAGCTTGGCGTTTAGTCTTTTGGTTTCGCCTTCGATGTAGGCATTAATGTTGTCGACGAAACTGTAATCATCGACGTGCAGCTCACCCGCATTACAGAAGATCGAGGACAGCATGTGGAATTCGTCCAACTGTTGGCGAAGGCAGCTCTGCAGCAGGTTCTCCTGTAACCGTTCGGCGTCCATTCTGTAAATAAAGAAAGACGAAGGCGCAGTGAATGTTTTGTGCGTATATATTTACTAACGAATAATGGAAATCTGCTTAACCCGTTACAGCCGAACACCGCTACCTGAAGGGCTTCAGCGAGCGAGGTTATGTCCCGGTGAACTTTCCCATCGACCTCTGCCTTCTAAAGGTGGGACATTCCATCTTCGCTGGATCTCTGCACCTTCGGAAGTCGAAGGACAGCTATGCAAACCATACCATCGTGTCGTTCTATAAAAGGGTAAGTTACTAATCACTCGAATGTTGCTTTGTGTTTGCAAAAGATTCTGTTTCCTCACAGCAACAAGGTCAGTTCCGCAAATACATGGAGTACACGGCCATCCAGGCTCGTAACTTCGAATGCATTTCACACGGTTCGCTTGGTTTTATCGCTGTGGTCAACTACTATGAAAACGCCGCCAAAGAAGACTCCCCGGAAGCCCATCCCAGTCTTGATGAAGGTTCTCCCGTGTTTCAAATTCAAGAAGACGGTACCACGGAGATCATCCAGAAGTTTAGCCAGTCCAATCAGAACACCGTTCACATGTGGACGGTCGGCAATGAGTTCTATCTAACGCATACGTACCGAAATCTGAACGAAAACGTCGATAACGTATGCCCCCTGTACCGTTGGTCCGGGTATCACTTCGATGTGATCGATGACCTGCCGTGTTACAATTCGATCTACATTGAACCGTTCTCGATCGCACAGACGTCATACATTGCGATCGCCAATCAGATGAACGATCAAGACGTCGAGGAGGACACTTTCTCCGACATCTTTCGGTTTAACCACGAGGAGCAACGGTTCGAATTCCATCAGAAGATCTACATCTACTCCGTGTCGGATATAGCGTACTTTTTCCTGGAGCTGGGAGAGGTTCGGAATCATTTTTTGATTACAGGAAATTCCCGCGCAGGAAAGGAAACCGCGTCCGAGAAGCTGGACTACGATCAGCACTCGATCGTGTACAAGTTCGTCGACGGGTATTTTGTGCCATTTCAGAAGATCGAGCTGCATCAGGTGAAGATGTTCCTTCCGGTTATGGTAGGTTATTTGTAGTTCCATAATGCTAGTCAAGAATAATCTTAAGCATACATCATAATTTCAGCACGAGAATGGCGAGTTTCTTCTACTGATCCGGTGCATTGGCAAACCGTTGTTGATCTATGAGTTTGACGGTTGGAAGTTCGTCCCTTCACGAATCGATTATACGCGGGATGTCTTCTCCACCGGAGTTTCCTTCATGCGCGTCTACCGGCACATTCTGAGCACTAGCTTGATCGTGATCGCCAATAAGCATAGCTTAGGAACGACGGCGAACATATTCTCACCGATCTACGGCGTAGAGAACGACCTGAGAGATGTCTACGGTGAATTTATCACGTGGTGTAGCGAAACGACCGATCAACTAGATAATTTAAATTTGGAAGAAGTTTACAACAAGCTGGTTGCTCTGCCGAAGATTGCAGGGAACACCGTTAAAATCGAGAAGGATGTGGAAGTGAAGGAATCGAGCGTGGAGTTACTCCGGACAAAAGTGTTGCATACAAAAGAGTTCATGTTCAATCAGGAAGCGTTCGATTATTTGAACAACGTAAATAGGCAATTGCAAGAATTGAAGCAGAAGGCGCAAAAGCTCCGCAGCTTAATTGATAACAGTTTGAAGTTGAGCGAGGCTGTAGAAGTGCGAGGAGACGTCAAGGCGCCACAGGTGATCGCATCCGGCGGATTGGTGAGAGATCTTGAGGCAAAGAATGTCAACGACGAACGAGTGGTTGCAAGAGTCGCGAACCAGACTAAGCAGGAGGAGGTCATCAATGTCGATCGACTGGTGGTCGAGGACAGACTGGCTGTTAAGTTTCTGAATGGATATGCTAGTGAAACGTTGCTGCATACCACGGATGATTTCCGATCTATGGGGAGCGTAGATTTGCATGTGAAGGAAGTGGAGGTTCGCGGAGAATTGTTCGTAGATAAAGCGATCGATGGAGTTCATGTATCGCCGGATAATGTTCTGATCCGCGGTGCCGATCAAGTGTTCACTGGAAAGACCCTGCGGGCTGACAATCTGACGGTGGTTAACCTTTTGGCAAAGACACTCAACTCGACGGATGTCGGTACGATCATGTCGTACATGGATCGAGCATCGGACCATAACGTAGCACAGAACAGAGCCGCTCAAAGCTATCCCAAAAGGTTCAAGGAAATTCGGGTCCAGGATCTGGAACTGACTGGTCTTGTAAACGACGTCGACATCAACTATATCAATAAGAATGCCCTCAAGATCGTAGGTGACCAAGTGATAACTGGGAGCATAAACTTTGACAACATAGTAACCAAAAACATGGAAACTCCTAACAAGCGTCTCTCTGGAGTGGATCTAAATTACCTAGTAATGACCGTACCGACACTCGAACAACCGGACTTCACCGTTCGACAAGATGTGCAGTTCATAAATCCTGTCTACATGGAGAATCTGCACGTGGACGACCGTATCAACCACATCAACGTGATCGACGATCAACTGCAGGTCTTGTTGAAGGACCCCAAGGAACCTCAGCTTATCACCGGGACCAAGAGCTTCGATAATGTACAGCTGTTGGGCCCGATCTACCTCCAGGGTAAGATCAACAGCAGTAGCCTTAGCAAGCTGAACCCGGTTTCCACGATCACCCAGGACATCTACCTGGAAGGTGACTTTGAAATAGCCGGTGATGTTACGGTGAGACGTCTGCTCAACGCTTCAAACATCTTTGGATCTACTGAAACGTACAACTTCTATGATCTGTACCACCACGGCCTTCCGCTGAGTGCCGCATCCGCCAATCAAAACTTCATCTTCAAGAAACCGTTGGTCGTGCAACGAGCATTCGCCAACTCTCTCAACGGCGTGAATCCAAGTGACTTCATCTCCGTGCCATCAAACAAACTACAACGCATCACTGGACGGAAAATATTCACCGGAGATCTAACGATACGCGGTGATCGAGTCGACGCCGCAGTCATCAACGATATTGATTTGAAGCAACTGAACCAAACGGTGCTGAAGAAGTCCGGTGATCAGGTCGTCGAGGGCACGATTCACTTCAAGGAGCTGATCGCATCCAATGTGATTACGAAGACGACGCTTTTTGAAGAACGACCGCTGAGTACGCTTCTAACGGTGAATACCAACCAGCACATCAAATCGAAGGTACGATGCGTGAACTGCAAATTGACGATCCACGGGGACTTGAGCATTGGACGATTGGATACGCTCAAAAACTCCAAAGTGTTTTCCTATGATCTAGATTACTTGCTCGCCGACACGTTGCGGAAAAGCTATGCCCCAAATGATACGATCGCAGTGATGGGATCGAAAAGTTTCCACAATGTAAGCGTAGGGGAGTTGATCCTGCTGGACCAAGCTACGATCAACGGAGTTGATTTGATTGGCTTGAAGAAAATCAACGACCCTCTCGAGAGGGACGTCGTCGTGGAAGAGACGTTGATCCTGAAGAATCCTCTACACGTTCGTAATGTGTATTTCAACGGATCGATCAACGGTGTTGGACGGGACGAATTTGGTCACTCGTGGTTACTTAATGAGTACAATCAAACGTTTACGGCGCCGCAGGTTTTCGAGCATGTCGTTGCTGAAGGGGTCTTTGTCGATGGATATTTCAATGGGGTTAATTTGGAGGATTTAGTGAAGGATCTGTTCTTTTTGGATCGAAACGAGCGACTGCCGGAAGCAGTTTTTCGTAAGTACTAATACTTTGATTAGTCCATTAGCAAATCGTATAGAAATATTACCTTTACAGATGAGGGAATCGTGTCCTACCAGCCGATAGCAGTCAAGGGTCTCGTTTCGGGTTTAAACCTTTCCACGGACGTACTGCTGAATTACTCTCCCAAGCGACAACACCTGAAAGACGTCCGAATCGATGGCAACCTGGTGGTAACCAACCGGATACATGTTGAGCACACACTCAATGGGATGAACTACGCTAAAATGAGGGAATTTGCTACATCCAGTGGCAGGGAACGACCTCTGCACGTGGAAGTCCAAGGAAACGTCCACTTCCAGCTACAGCCGGAAGTTGGTCAATTGAACGGATTCAGCTTGGAACAGCTTCATCGCGACGTTTGGTTGACCAATCGGGATGAAGTGTTGACCGGGGCGTACCGATTCGAGAATGTCCATTTCGCTAGTTATGTTCATACTAAGGTAAAAGGAGAACTTCAGTTTAATAGTCGTAATAACAATGATTTTGATTTCCTTGGTTTAGGGACCGGTTAATCAACTTGATTTGGAGGAAATTTCCCAGACCTACCTCAGCGTATCCAAACCGCAAAACGTGACTACGCCGTTGGTTTTCAAGGGACCAGTGGAGCTCCAGAAAATGGCAACTTTTGGCACTATTGCACTGGGCGGGCTGCTCAAGGGATCGAAAGAGTAAGTACTAAACTTCGGCAGCTTCTAATTGACTCTATCAGTATTATCGGAACTTGCATGGGGTAGGTACATTCGTTGCTTTGAATTGTTCACGTAGGTGTTTGGGATGTTGACAATTATTGTATTATTCGACAGAACTTCCTAAACAAAACTGAAATAACTCACCTATTTCTGGTAAAGCACAATATATGTAAAAACTCCGTAACAATTTGTAAATTCTTAGGAACAATTAAACATTAATCCTATGAGGTACTTATTAGAATTTAATTGAGATAAGCGCGATAAGCATTTCCATAAAAAAAAACCTGGTAAACAAAACTCTGAATAAAACGTAAACAGAGAGGAGCGGCGCGTGTTAAGCTGTCAATGTTGCTCTCTCGCATGAGAGGCAGAGAGATTAAATCGAAATTTTCGTTGGAAGAGAAGCGTGAGATGAGAAAGTGAGATGAAGCTGCGGCTAGATGTCGAACTGTTCACTGCAATCACGTGGCCTCCAAGCAATATGATCGAATTTGATTTTTTGGTAACTAAACAAAAGCTTAAAAGGTGCTTAAAAGGTTTTTTTTTTAATTTGCTAAAAATTTGATCATACCAAAATCCTTACTTCGGTTGTACGACCTAAAACGAATAAAACTTTTCTCTGAAATATTATAAATCAAATTTCTAGAATGTGTATTTTGTTCATATTGGCTTAATATTTGGAATTAACTGCTCAGAACTTCCGTTAATGGATAGTTTTACCTTTTTTTTTAATTCATATGGATAAATAGGAACAAATATTACAGTAGATGGAATAATTTGGGATTATTCTTAAAATTCACACGCCAAAGATGTTTAAAACTGAAAAATTCAGAATCTAGAAAATTCTCTCTTCTACGCTTGGAGATTCAGTGTTTCGCAACGAGCCAGAAATTAAACCTAATATTCCGTTTCAGGTCGAGAGGAATCGATATCGTCGATTTTGATAAAAATGTTCTGAAAAAGAACGTTGATCAAACCATAACCGGCAAATGGGTCTTCCACGATGCGGAGGTTTACGGTAAATAATCTCTTTACCTTGAAAACATCTGAGTTCTTCTCAACTATCTTTCCCACTTCGTCAGGAAATCTGAACCTGACCACCCTCAATGGGCTGGACATCCAGCATGACATCCTGTTGAGCCACGCCGAACAGGTAACATTCACCGGCGCCAAACGGATCGATAACCTCCGGGTGCACAACCTTCGCTGCTCGGAACCGTGCATCATCCAAGGCGTAGACTTCAGCGAATGGTTTGCCAATGCTGTACGCTTGGACCGGAACCATACCATCGAAGGCATCACCTATCTGGAAGGAGCCACCATATTGAACGACATTGAATCCCTCGGTCCGGTAAATAATGTTACATTCGATCAGCAACATTTACTGTTGAAGTCAGTTCCGCAAACGTTGGAAGGAACCCTATACTTGAAAACTAAATTCCCGGAGCAAAACCTAATCTACCCGTCGTCGATCGAGAAACTCGAGGTGGAAACGATCAATGGCAAGGACTTTAACCAGTTTATGTCAAATCTGGCTCGTGACGACCAGGGAACACTCATGATCGGTACGCCGGTAACCTTGGTACACAATTTGCGAGCTCAGAACGTGAATACGGGCGATAGCAAGATCTTTGGGGTGAACATCAACCAACTGTTGCAGGAGGTCGAATACGGTGATCAGTTGAGCAAGTATGAAACGAAGCTGCGCAGTCTACATATGGTCGGACAGTCACTCGTGGAGACTTTTAGCAGTACGTTGGTTTGGATTTTGATAACATCTCGTAGCTTTCTAATTTCATATAACCGCTAAATTCCAGGTAAAACGCCCTATTTGAGTCACTATCAACCGATAAAGGCCTTACCGGGCTACTTCCGGAATGTAGTGACGATTGTGTTGCCTCTATCTCCCGTACCTATTGAACTTCTCGCTGCCCTCGTGGATGACGGCAATCACACGGCTGTTGAGTTCTATCGCTGGAACAAGAAAGAATCTCAGTTTCGAATGGCGAAAGGTTGATTAAACTCTTTCAACATGATAAATCAAATATTTACCGGATTCTTCCATTCACAGGATTCCCTCCCATCAAATCTCCAGTTTCGATTATCACCAAATTGAAGCGAATCTCCCTAGGTGGGGTGCAGAACCTTTTCGTCGAATTTTACGACCCTATGCGTCAAATCTATCAGCAGTCCATTCTGGATCTTGAAGCGCCGGATTTCCTAGCACCGAAGCAGTCACCAAAGTTTACCGTCATTTACGAGTTCAACAGTACCCTTCCCAGGGATATTGTTATGCTCAAGCTAATGGATCTGGACTGCGTAGGTCTATTTTCCCCGCTCGTCGATGGAATGAACGTCTATTGTCTCCGATTGGAAAACCTAGTGTACTACCTGAAGTTCCAGCAGTTGCTGGCTACGCCTGCCGTTAAGCAGGCTCTGCACTTGGACGGGCGTTTGATCTTGCTGAGCCGGGATAACCTGTTGCAAGTTTGGCGCCCTCTTGCAGACTACAAACTTGGACTATTCCAGCTGGTTAAGATAGCCCATCCATCTTTCATAACCGCCGTCAAATTCGAGCAGCAACTTTTCATTGCCATCAATTCCGAACACGAACTGACCGACACCGCTCATCACGGATCGGTCGAGATCTGGCGTGACCTACGGCCGCAGCATCGCAACAGCACCTTCACCAAGTATCAAACCATTCTGACTAAGGTTCCGAAGCAGATTCAGTTTTCGGTTATTCCGGCGACCTCGGAGCTGATGCTGTACACTTTGACGGGGAATCCGTTCCATCCGCTGGTGATCTACCGATACGAGGGAGTCGCCGGATTCCGCGAATATTTGACGAGTAATGCTCTGCGGACCAGCAGTCAAAGGCTGATGGTGGTCAAGTTGGATCGGAAACAGCGGGAACTGTTGGCGTTGGTTGGCAACCGGGAGTTAACCTTCATCGAAGCGGTTATCAAGGGGAGATAGATTTTTTTTGAGCGTTTATATTTGTATTTGTGTGTACAAAGAATTTAGTATGATTGTTATGTAATAAACACAATTTCTTGTTTTTGTTAAATTGTCTTTGGTTAATTAGACTGTTTATATGCTGTACTCGGAGGGCCTCCCTTAGCTCAGTTGGTAAATGCGCAGCTACAAAGCAAGACCATGCTGGAGGTGACTGGGTTCAATCCCCGGTCCGGTCTAGGAATTTTTCAATTTTTTTTTAAATTTGCTTGAAATTCTCCGTTTAGTCCCCATGCAATTCACCTCAGATTCTCGACCAACAATTGAAAAGGTTCTTAGGTTTTTTATGAGCAAAACTTGTAATCCCTTCTATGCCAATACCATTGGGTAGCAGAAATTCTCCCGCCGAAAATTTTCTTCAAATTTTACTCAGAATTATTTTGGAGTTCTCTTCTAAACTATTCTGGAAATTCCATGGAATTCTCATACAAATTCGCTAGAAATTCCATTCGAAATGCGCTTGGAATTATCATCGGAATTTCCTTATAGATCCAAAGCATTATTTTAGAATTGTTCTCTCAAAATTCGCTTCGGTTTGGACAAGGAACTCGATTTGAAAAAAAAAAAATGAATTCAACTGAGTTGATCAATGACTTATACCCAGCTTAACTTTCTCTCTTCACCATTCTTGTATTTACTCAAAAGCGCTCCAATACGTACAATGGATTGATTTTTGTTGGACACAGCTGGATTGCGCAGAGCCACCAATCTACTCAAAGGTTATTTTATTTCAAACGCAATTAGGTGTAACGTCTATTGAGAGACGCACATACCCATTATAGAAGCTTAAACTTTGCTAACTAACAGCGTCTATCGTCTACGGAAATGGACTTTTATAACAGTTCAACTCGGGAATGTGACAACACCCAGTGGGAGTTGAATTTATAATAGGCTCAAAATCATTGAAATACCCTTTTACCCTTCAATTAAAGATCGACTTCGTTTGTATTTACGTTTGTGTACGAAAAAGATAGGAACGACGTTACCATACAAACGCCATTTACCGGAATATCTCACCTCTATGAGTATTCCAGTATTACGATTGGTCTTTGTGATATGTACTTTATGGTATGTATCATATAGGTCCACCGTTGTATAATTGGCAATGCACCCGTGTACTGAATGGGAATTGTTGGTTCGAATCCCACCGGTGCCGTTAGATTTTTTCGTTTATTTTTTCTTACACACACGTCTCTTACCGATGACATGTGCTTACCTCTCTCTCAGTATGTTCAAACATTCTTACAAACAATTAAATTGATTGCAAGTCGCTAAACGGTAAATCTTTGCGCTATTGTTAGTTATGGGCAATGATTCACATATTTGCTAAAATTCGGTAATTTTGGAACTTGTATTTTAGAAAAAAAGGGTTGCACGGAAACGGCATTTCTGATCGAAATGACGTCTGAGACAAAGTTGAGCATGAGCATGAGCATTAACTACCATACAATTCAGTAGTTGCTACTCCGTGATTGACCAGATCTAGTGAAATTTGCACAAAGAACCAATGTAAATGGGGCTTGGGATTAGCAGTCCATTCTCAGTTTGCAAAATCCAGTAAATCATTACTTTTAAGTTCAGTAACGGCGCCGGCCACGTCCTTACGGTTGTCGGGGAGGGAAAGAATTGTTAGCTGACACACGTTGTTACCAGAGTCGATGTTATAATACAGGGTGTCGACTCAAAGTCGAAAATAAAATTCCCTGACTTTCCAGTCGGTTTTCAGAAAAAAACCAGTCCACAAAACTTCGTTATTTTAACCTAAGAAGCTACATCGTGATGTGCTTTATTATACCGTAGTGTAAATTAATGTTAGTTTAAAATGAGCAGCAGGGTAAGCTTTCGAAAATATCAAGAATAGCATACTCATGGCACTTACAACAGAACTTTATACTAATACAATTTTTACAGACCATATGACCGACTACCTACGAAGGATGTGAATAAACCTAGGGCTATAAATACCTATTATAATATAATAATGAATAACGACTACTCACAACTGGGCTCACTATTCATTACTAAGTAATAATAAGAATATTTAATCAATGTCACCAAGCTCTCAATTTGTGTTCATAATTTCACAGCCAAATAAAAATCAACCCGTAGACGATCCTTTCTCTTAACATATAAATTATTGTAAAATAACAGAGTAGTAATTATTCTTGCTTTGGCAACCGAGCCTGAGGATGCACTGCTCATGCATTAGTCAGTTTCGTACCCTCTGGAACTCCATATGACAACCGCAGACATGGTAAACTAATTTAAGTTTAATTATCATTAACATTTTATTCTCTCAGTTAGTTCACATTACAACGAGAAATTGCAAGTTGAATATGTGTTTATTTTCGGATTACTTTTAAAAATGTTTATCATTTGAGCAGAACAATTTTCTCCTGCAAACGACGATCCTTGTCTACATGGAAAGCGAATGCGATTTTTCGAACTCGCTGAATAAGTTCATTCAAAATTTGTAAGTTTTCGAACCCGCCTGCATGAGTAACACCACCATAGATCTGACGTCGCGCTACGACTGAAGGCCCAAACGCAATGTGGCCGGTAGCGGAACGGAAAAGGTGTCACAAATGACATCAAGATGCCTAACCGCACTCGATTTGATTCTAACTAGTTTTCAATCAGACAAATAGGCTTACTCAGATCGGGCTTTTCCGCTACCACTGCCGTTCCGCTGTCATTGCGCTTCACAGTGGTTCCCCTTAGAACAAAAGTTGGCCAAAACCTCAAAATTGTTGCTAATAGGCAAAAAACAGTTAAAATAGATGTTTTTTTAGCTGTACGAAGAAAACTTGACAATCAAGACGTCACAAAAAGGAGTATAGTGGAACCGAAACCAATGCACAATGGTCCCAGCCGAATTTACCTAGGAAGACAAAAATGTTTGCGCCCAAACCGTCAGTTTTAGGTATATGGTTTCTTAGGGAAAGTTGCTTCATATTTTTTGTTCAATCTTTTTATGTTCGAAAAAATTAAGGTGGTCCATAAAATTGGTGAATTAAAAATACAAACTATTTATTATTTGAGATAGACCAAAGCAGTGTTCTAAACAGTTGTAGAAAATTAAATTCAAAGTAACTTTGTAGAAAACACAACGTTTTTAACTCTTATGGTTCATGAGTTATGATTTTTAAAACAAGCAGGTTAGGGTGGCCACTAAAATCGATTTTCTTTGAATATCTTTTCATGCGTTAATTTCTTGTAAAAACATTGTTCTGATTACATTTAGAACTTTTGATGACGCATTTTTTTGCTCAAGCAACTAGGTTACTTTGTTTTTTGATTAGAAAGTTAAAGGCTCTATTCTTCGAAAAAATGACTCTTTTCAATTGTCAATATCTCAAAATGGAGGTAACCGATTTTCAAACATTTAACTTCATTAGAAACATCGTTTTTTTTTTTCATTTTTGGTAAAAAAAAACTGCAAGAGCTTTTTGTGTTTAAAGCATTTAATTTAATTTAAAAAAAAAGTAATATTTTTTAACATTACTAGTCATAACTTTTCAAATAAAAGAGATAACAACTTAGCAAAAATATGCGTCATAAAAAGTTCTTAAAGTATATGGTAAAAAAATTTCGAGAAATGAACGTATGTAAGATATTTAAAGAATGCCGATTGTCTAGGGGCCACCCTAACCTGCTTGTTTAAAAAAATCATAACTCATGAACCATAAGAGATAGATATCAAGAACAACATGTGAAAAGGGCATACAAGCTTTTTGTAAACAAACGTTCTTATGCCCTTTTCTCGGCACCCACATAAAATACAAGCAAATCATCAACATCACCGGATAGAGGGAACTTTCCCCTTCCCGATGATGATATTGGTTTGCGTGGGCGACGCTCGGTTTTTCGAGAAGAGGGCCTACACAGGTTTGTTTACAAAAATCTTGAAAGCCCTTTTCACATGTGGCTCTTGATATATGGTGCGTGTGTGTATGTGTGTGCGTATTGGTGTGCTTTGAAAAAGGCACTGTGAAGCTTGCTACGGTATACACCGCAGATTATATAACTTAGAAACAGATATTTTCAAAGAACACTTTACTTGTTATTCCTAATTTCAACATGTTTCGCAAAAAATCGCAAAACACATTAAAGCCTATCTGAAAGCTAACTTTTCTAGCTATCTTTTGGTTACTAAATGATAGTGGGCGGATGTGTCCGTCATATGTTTTGCTTAGTCTAAATGCAAAAAAAGTATATTTTTGCTAATTTATATAATAAAAACTGTCACTAAAAACACTAAGACACTCTTTTTTACCATCCATTTGACGTAAATTAAGCCAAGGAACATTTCTTCTGAAGCAACCAAGTTTATAAACAAATTATTTTTTGCTATATTTGAGCAAAACAGTAACAAGAAACATTAAGATTTTTTACAAATTTTTTTGATATCGCTGCACTAAAACAGCCATAAAAAAAATATTTAATCAACAAAACTGCACAAATCATTCAATTTAGGATACTCTTAACATGTAAAAATGATAAAAAAATATTGAAATAAAAAAATATCGGCTTTAATTTTTGAGGTTTTGGCCAGCCAGGAACCACTGTGCGCTTGGGCCTTGACTTTTCCCTCACACTTAAAAAAATTCACACGTTACCTTTATGTGTTCTACACTTCAATTTGCGCAAATTGCGAAACACATCCAATTCATGTGTGAATCTTATAATAGAAATTATACCCGAACACTATAAGTTCAATTGTGATACACTTGGATTTCATATGTTTCACATTTTGTTATTGACAGTCTGACACTTAATCATCAAATTTCCTTCTTTAAAAAGTATATTCTCGAACATATCTGGTTTGTGTAACTTACCTTTGATAATGGATTAAAACTTATCCCAGCAATATTGCATTTCATTTAATGATTTTTTTTTGCATTAATAATTCATGAAAGATAAGAAAAAAATACACTACAGTTCTCTCCAATCGCGTCACTACACCAGGAGCTAGGAGCCCCAGGAT